AAGTTGTGCATATTGGACGAATGACTGATTTATTAAAAGCATCTTTCTTTTTCAAGCAGAGGAATACTCCTTATATATGTATACGTGTGCTACGCATGTAGAACACAACCAGCACAAGACGCTTAATGCCCGGAACTTTCACATCTTAACTCTCCTTGTTCGTAACTGAAGCCTTTTACTTCCCCCCAATAAAGCGTGCTGATCCCAGTCCTCCGAGGCTGGAGTAGATGTCCCGTTTTTGTGCATTGATGCTTCTGAGCTTATTATGTCACAGTTCACACTTGTTTTTACTTGTCTATTAACTTTTTTTCCCTAAAGACAGTGAGCTCCTCTAAGGAAGAGATTGTTTCTTATTCTTTTTTTTTCATTATAAAAAATTTCATTCACTTAAATTTGTATACACACCCCCAAGACAACTGTGTAGATAAGAACAGACACCTTAAAAAATAATGTCTGATGGATGGATGAGGGAATAAGTAAACGAACAGCAGCTGTACATCCCTCTAAGTGGCATCTCCCCTGATACTTTGCCTCAGTTCGGGTTCTTTGCAGCACCTCAGAAATATCCCATCATTGATTGCAGCTCTCTGTTTTGGCATGACTGAGGCTGGAATGCTATATAGAGATAGCACCAAAGGACAGCCTACACAATCTCTTACCAATTATCTATCCTCTTTCACACCTTAACTGACTTCTCTGAAACTGCTTCTGTCAATATGCCCTTAACAGGGTCAACATAAATGCCCCCATTTGTATGTATCACACTGGATGCTGATGACTGGACATCACTATTCCAAACATAATTGCAAACCACTTTTAGTGATAGCTTTGAAAGGATTCAAGCAAGATGAAAATTAAATCCTAGAGAAGGCAAAAAGGTACCAGAGAACCTAGGCTAAGACAAAAACTTTTGAAGACAAAATTGGATCTAGCATATATATTTGGACTAGCTTACTACAGGAAAAAACACATGTAGTCTTGTAATGACCTAGTAAATGATTAATAAATCAGAGCCCATATCTTCCTTTCAAATGTTGTCTCAGTGAGGTTTTGGACAAAATGTGTCTGGCAAAGAAATTCACAAATAGCAGGTTTCTGAAGGGCAGATAGCCTATATTCTGTTTGGAAGTTGATTCAAATGCTCTACAATGCAGGCCTTTGAGTTAAATTTTGATGTTTTAGATAATGATAAATAAGGAGTCTGTTGAGATTTACAAATGTTAGCCACTATATATAAAAATAGATTTTAAAAAGTTTCTGCTGTATAGTACAGGGAACTTTGCTTATTATAATAACCTTCAATGAAAAAATATGAAAATGAATATATGTATGTGTTTGCATGACAGGGACATTGTGCTGTACACCAGAAATTGATACATTGTAACTGACGGTACTTCAGTTTAAAAATAAGGACTCTGGTTTGTAGAACACGAGTCAAAGGAAAACATGACATCTAACACTTTCTGCAGACGCAAAATACCTTACAGGCACAAGACTGGCTGACTACAGATGGTCTTGTAGATTCTGGACATCCCAGGAAGATAAATCTGGCTGTGCATGGGACAGATAGGACTGGATACACCAAGGGTGCCACTCTAGGAGAGAGACCTGATAGCCCGCCACCTCACACTTCTACAGAGCGGTTGGGAAAGGGTAAGGGTCATCTGTGTAGAAGGACTCTAAACTTGGCAGCTGGTGACAACGCAGCAGGCATGAGCAAGTACAAACTACTCCCAAACACAAACTAGTTTATTACTCCATGGTTCCTCGTCATCCTCAGGTCTCACTGGCTTATTAAAAAGAAAAGGAGATGTTTAGGGTTTATATGGAATAAGATGTCCAAAAGAGGCATTGTCCCTTTCAATTTCCCTTTAAACTGCCTTTAAGGAGGCACTTTCCAGGTTTCTGATACATCCTCTGCTGATCAAAGTCTCTCATTCCACCCACAAAGAGCCAGCACATCCTTTCCGTGGGGCAGTATCCAGTAATCCTCAATCAAGACAACTGAAAGCCCCCAGCCAAAGGGTAGGCATGGAAACAACATCAAAATAGTAATCATGACCCAAATCTCTCAGTCATCAGTAACATTCATAGTCCCACAGCACAAAAGAGGAATTCATTTACTGTGGCCTTTCTATAATTTAAGAACAGTAGTCATTAAGGATTCTATGTTGGTAAGATTAACATTACATGATATTCTCCACCTTTTCAATACACTTGCATTAAATGTCCATCGATAGATGGCTGGATAAAGAAGTTGTAGTATATAGAGATATAGATATAGATAGATAGAGAGATAGATAGATAGATAGATAGATAGATAGATAGATAGATAGATAGATAGTGGAATACTACTCAGCTATAAAAAAGAATAAAATCGTGCCATTTGCAGCAGTATGGATGGGCCTGGACATTGTCATACTATGTGAAGTAAGAGTAAGTCAGAAAGAGAAAGAAAAATATCATATGATATCACTTATATGTGGAATCTTTTAAAAAATGACACAAATAAACTTATTTACAAAACAAAAACAGGTTCACAGACAGAGAAAACAAACTTACAGTTAGCAGGGGTTGGGGAAAAGAGGGGTTGGAGGGATAAATTGGGAGTTTGGGATTTGCAGATAATAACTACTATATATAAAATCGGTAAACAACAAAGTCCCACTGTATGGCACAGGGAAGCTGGAAGAAGCAAAGAACAAATTTTTCCCCCAGAGCAGCTGGAGGAAGTATGGCCCTGCCAAACACCTTGATTGCAGCCCAGTGAAATTGATTTTGAATTTTTGGCTGCAGAATTGTGTGAGAGAATAAACATGTTATTATAAGTCACAAAGTTTGTGGTAATTTGTGACAGCAGCCCCCCAAAAACTTATATATAAAGTGTTTGCTCAAAATACTCATGCAATTTCACTAATATGAGAAATGCTATGAAATGAAGCTTTTTTAAAACTCATATACTAGATATTTTCACATGTCCAAGTACACAGATGTATGACTATTTTGAAATAGCTTACCACACAGAGAAAACTGAAAATGTAAGCTCCCAACTGAGAGAAGATACTCCTTCTGCTACTCCTCCAAAAATCATCCCAAAATATCAAGGTGTGTCATCTAAGCTCCAAGATGGCCCAAGTACTTCTCACCTCTTGACTTCCACACCCTCAGATAGCCCCCTTCCATGCTGAATCAGGGCTGCTCTTGGGCAACAACATATGGAGGGAGCAGTGGTGTGTGACCAAGGCTAGATCAGAGATGGTTTTGCTGCTGAGGCTTCATCCTCTTGGATGGTTGAGATATTGTTCTCTGGTCAAAGCCAAAGTCCTTGTTAGAAGAACAATCAAGCAGTCCCACAGAGAGAACAAAATGCAGAAAACCCAACATGCCAATATCAATGCGATAGCCATCTCATGGCTACCCTGGAACTGGATTCTCCAACATCAGGCAAGGTTCACATGCTATAATCCAGCCAAGACCTGACTGCAACTCATGAGAGACCCTAAGCCAGAACTGCCCATCCAAGCTACTCCTGAACTCCCTTTTCTTTTCTTTCACTTTAAAATTTTATTGTGGTAAGTACTTCATATAAAATCTATCTGTTAACCTA